TTATATATATATATACTTTCATTTTTGGGTTAAAGTTTTCATGTTTTGCTGAAGCTGTCCCAATATTCTGCATAGTAATTGCTATTTTAGTACCAGTCAGTTATGTTTGGGAAAAAAATTAACATAACTCAAAGGTCAGTATTTTCAAAAATATGTAGTCAAGTTATATTACTGGAACCCTCAACATGCACCATGTATTTAACTATCAAAACATTATGACCACTAACAGTTGCAGTGAATAACTTTGCATTGTCTAAATGGCAGCTGTCAGAAGGTGCTGGAAGCAGAAAAAATGAGCAAGAATGAGGATTTCAGTAATTCTTACAAGAGCAAAATGAATGACAGGCTTTTGTGTATGGAGGTGTGTATCTGTGTACTTATCAGTGAGTTGTATTCACCATTGAAAGGGCCTATTGACTTGAGAACATTAGAATTGGACCAAAGAGACCATCAGCAAACAACTTGATTAAAGGATATAACGTTTTACGGTTAATATAAATCAGAAATATGCTTGTTTTGCTCCCTATTTTCCCAGTTTATAGCCTCTGTGGGTAACAACGCTGCCAAAGCCAAATATGAACAGTCTATACCTGCCTTCTTCTATCAACCAACATACAAAGATTGCCTGTAAGTACTGCTCTCTCTGCTCTCATTGTGCTTTGATTCAGGTGCTTTTTGTTCAACATATGAACTATCCTTTACATGTAGGATAAATGAGTACACACTTCCAACACACTCACATGTTACGACTGAACCCAGATGCAATAGGGGGTCTAAGCAGGGTGAACCCTGTTTGGATCACCAGTCCTTTACAGGCCAAACAGAAATAAACCAGACAACTGATAATTCACAACCACACTCGCAGTCAACTTAGAATAATTAAATCAGATCATCTAATTATTTTTGACTGTGATAGGAAGATAGAATATCCAGGGAAAACAAGAATGCAAGACTAATTACTGTAATCAAGGCAGATATGGGAAATAAAAGAACTTGAGTATCATAAGTATCCCACGGATGGATGACAATGGAGACTTGAGCAACAATTAAAACCATAGCTGTTTGATTTAATGAGAATGTCTCTGCAAGTTAATTAGATGTTTACAAAGTACCAGCTGAAGCACGAAGCAAACAGTAAACCCAGGCAGAGCTGAGCGTCTCCCACTCTGTTCTCCAGGCTCCTGCGGGACCAGTGGATCCGAGCAAAATACGAGAGGAAGGAGTTTATGTGTGCGGAGAGGCAGGAGGCTTACTCATCAGGTGAGAGAAATTTGTTGCATGCTCCTGAACAGAAAGGATTGTTTCTGAGACAGCGGGACCCATTTAGTGTTGAATACTCAGCCGTGAAGCATCATCTATCAGTTGTCAGGAGCAGGCTCAGCTGAAGCAGCTTAACACTAAACACATTAAAACATACAAGAAGAAATAAAGAGGGTTTATCACTCACACTATTACTAGTATGCCAAATTGACTGAGTCCAGCAGACGTTGTCTGTATTCTTCCATAGATGATGGGACCTGGTCAAGAGAACTATATTTCTGTTTAGTGTTCTATATTAACTAATTTTGTGTTAATTTACTGATCTAACATACTTTAATATTTATGTTCAGCTACAGTATTAAAACCTTATCTTGTGGTTGACATTTGCCCATAAGCTCAGTTTGACACACTGAGTCATTGTGGTCTTATTATCTGCTTTACGCATTCTCTAAAGTAAAAAAGAAAGACAAAGCTTACCAGAGCCGAGCTATGAAAAAGGAAAACTCCTTTGAGTGATTGTGAAGTGTGCAAAACTAGAGACAGATCTTGATCTTTTTTTTAATATATGTATTTCTTGTCTCCACGTACTCAGTTAAATTAAATTAAATTCAGTTTATTTATATAGCGCCACTGAACAGAAACAGTCGTATACATAAAAACTAAGTTTTTAACATTGTTTATTTGAGGAGCACACTGCTTTGAGTCAAACTTTGTCGCAGACTCTCATTTTGCGCAAGCATGAAGGAGACAGTGGAAAGGAAAAATTCCCTCACGAGGAAGAAACCTTTAGCAGAACCAGGCTCAGGACAAGTGGACATCTGCTTCAACCAGCCGGGATTGAGAGGAAGAGGAAGGAGGAACAGATACACAATGGCAGGTCGAAAAATAAATGTTAATATAGAAATAATTTCAAATGGAGGCCGAGATGGTGTAGGGGCAGGGCAGTCGACTCGGGACCCGAAGGTCCCAGGCTCGATCCCCAGTCATTGCACATCTTGTGGTGTCCCTGAGCAGGACACCATATCCACAGTCACTCCCCGGGCGCCCTCAATAGCTGCCCACTGCTCCACCTGGTGGTGGATGGGTCAAATGCAGAGAGCCAATTTCACCATTGCATGGGAACATATAGTGATGACAATACATACACCTTATTATTATTAAAATCAAACTATTCATTTGTAACAATTCATTTTAAGAAATGAGGTCAGTTGTCCTCCAGTAGTCTATGCCCATGGTAACATAACAAGCCAACCCTAACTATAGGATTTATCAAAAAGGAAAGTCTTCAGCCCAGTGTTAAAACTGGACAATGTGTCAACTCTACGGACAGCAACTGGAAGTTGGTTCCACAAGAAGGGAGCCTGATAACTGAAAGATCTTCCTCCCATTCTGCTTTTGGAAACTCTAGGATTCGCAAGTAAGCATGCAATCTGAGAGCGAAGTGCTCTGTTAGGAAAATATGGAACAATAAGATCTCAAATATAAGATGGATCTAGGTTGTTGAGAGCTTTGTAGGTTAGAAGTAAGATTTTGAATTCAATTTTGGACTTGACAGGGAGCCAATGGAGAGAAGCTAAAACTGGAGAGATATGATCTCTCCCACTAACTCCAGTTAAGACTCTGGCAGCAGCATTTTGGATCAATTGAAGACATTTTAAAGACGTATTTGGACACCCAGATAATAAACCATTGCAATAGTCCAGTCTAGACATAATGAATGAATGAACCAGTTTTTCTGCATCATTTTTAGATAAGCTGTTTCTAATTTTAGTGATATTACGCAGGTGGAAGAAGGAGGTTCTAATAACAATTTTAATGTGGGGGATAAAAGACATGTCCTGATCAAAAATAACACGTTTTTAAACATTAGAGCTGGAGGCCAGATTCCAAGGATGGTGAAAGACTAAAAAATTTATTACTAAGATGCTTAGGTCTAATAACCAAAACCTCCATCTTGTCTGTGTTCAAAAGCAGAAAATTCAGGGTCATCCAGGTTTTTATGTCTTTTAGACATGCTTGTAGTCTAAGTAACCAATTAGATTCATTGGGTTTAATGGACAAATATAACTGTGTATCAACAGCATAACAATGAACATTTATCCCATGCTGTTTAATAACTACCTAATGGAAGCATAAGGTAAACAGTATTGGTCCAAGCACTCAACCTTGAGGAAATCCATGACTAACTTTGGTGTATGATGAAGATTCATTATTTACATTTACAAACTGGAATCTATCAGATAGATATGATTTAAACCAATTTAGAGCCGTTCCTGTAATTCCAATATCATATTCAAGTCTCTGTAATAGAATATTGTGATCAGTTGTATCAAATGCAGCACTGAGGTCTAACAGGACCAGTGTGGACACCTGTCCTTTGTCGGAGGCCATGAGAAAATCATTAGTAACTTTCACTAGGGCTGTTTCTGTGCTATGATGAGCTCTAAACCCTGACTGAAACTCTTTAGATTATTTCTTTGAAGATGATCACGTATCTGAATAGCAACTATTTTCTCTATAATGTTTGAGATGAAAGTTAGATTAGATAAAGGTCTATAATTGGCTAGGATTCCTAAGTCAAGGTTATGTTTCTTAAGTAAAGGTTTAACTACAGCAATCTTAAAACGCTGTGGTAGGTAACCATTGATTAGAGACAAATTAAGCAGATCCTAAATGTGGATATTAATTAAGGGAAATACCTCTTTAAATAGTCTGGTTGGAATGGGATCTAGCAGACATGTGGATGGTTTGTATGTCAAAAGAAGTAATGGAATAACTAAACATCTGACACATAGGGCAAGTGATAAAGCCAGAAGCTACACTAAACTAGTAAGAGCTAGCAGATCTCAAATACACTGATCAAAACCAGAAGTCCTGAGGCTTTAGGTAGGGTGATCAAGCGATGTGAATCTGATGCAGTCACTCAGCAATGATACGGTCTCAGCTTTGGGTGAGTTGAAATCAGCCAACTAGCTTAGCCCAAGCACGATGCAGCATCTCATGACTGGCTCCTTTGTCTCTCAAAACACATAAAAATAAATCATTAAAAATCATTAATTCAACATTTATTTATACAGGTTAAAGCCTAATTGAATCACGAGAACTCATTTTCAAGAGAGACCTGTTTTAAACAAAAAAATAAACAAAAAAAAAAAACCCACAGATGAGGAAACAACAAGAAACACTACAACAAATTCAAGGAACAGAAAAAACACCGTACTCAGCAGTCCCATTTTGATTAAAGTCACATTGTGGATGTGTAGGGCACAAATTTATTTGGTTATGTTGCATGATTTATTTAACCTTAAGGTAGTTTTCCTTCCAATATGTTTAAACACTAATATTTCATGACTGAACATTAAAATATGCACAACTTTGGGGATACACAGAACAGAACAACAAGGAATTAGTATCTAAAATTGAAGAGTATGATGTTGATTGAGTTTGTGAAACTGTTTTTTCTTTTGCATGCAGTGGCAGCTTTGTGAGTTGAATGTGCATGTTTCTGCACGAGTCCTTGCTGTGCCTTTTTGTTCTTCAGATAAGGTTTTCAAAACAAGGTGGATAAGATTAGAATTACTGTATTTTTTGCTGTATAAGTCTTGTTTTGTTGAATAATTTACATGCTCTGCGACTTATAGGCTGAAGCCACGTATTTATGGATTTCCCCCCCATATTTATAAATCAATTTTTGGCTGAGATATGACCGTTTTCATTCATTCTGACTGAAAAAACTGAGGCATGCCATTATATCACGTAATAGGTAAAAGTGGCTATTAATGACACAATTGGCTTGCCTCAGTTTGTAACCGTCGTCTGCCTGGAGCGACCAAATCAGTTTCATTTCGCTGCGTCTCCCCGGCAAAATGCAGCTAATTTGACCGTCAAAGTGCATTTATTAAGTAAAAGTTCAACTAAGACACACCTTTACTATAAAGTCGAGCTAACAAATAATTGTTTGTAGGTGGTTATTTTGTTAAATTTCGAATAAATGGACAGCGGGTCGCCCTCTGCGCGTTCATGTTTCTGCGTATCGGTTTTTGAAAATGCAGCAGATTTGTCCGTCAAAGTGCATTTATTAAGCAAAAGTTAGACTGAGACACATCTTTACTATAATTTCGAGCAAAAAAATAATTGCTTTTAAGTCTTAATCTTGTTAAATTCTTGTTAAAGTCCTCCCATGCATGCTCTTGCGGCCGCCATTTGGCAGCCTATTGATTTTTGGTACAACACCGGCACACATTTCCGTGTTCGGCCCACATTTTCGACACGTCAGCGGTGATGCATAATAGATGTGACTTATATGGAGAAGCAACATATTTATGGATTTTTCCACTTTATTAGACATATTTGGACTGATGCGACTTATAGGGCAGTGCGACGTGTATGGTGGAAAATACGGTAATATTGCTCTGACTCTATGAGCTGCTGAACACGATGAGTTAGGACAAGTTCTGTTCAAGTGGATGCGCAAACTTCTGACTGTCCTCTGTAAGCCTTTGTATGCCAATAATAGTCCATGATTAACCATATTTTGAATAGTAACATAGTGCATATAGATGTGTATACTGCAGGTAATCCTGCTTGCACTGCTGTCATACACAACAAAAAGTCACCTGCTTTGTTGAGGAATTCACTGTTTTGCTGCAACAGCTCACCAGAGTTTAGCAAAGTCTCTGAGGACAACAGGAAGCTGTGAAACGTCTGTAAGTTCTCCTGATAAAAAGAAAAAGATGGTCTCTAAGAATACTTCATCTCTGCTTTAATTGATTGTTTGTCTTGGTAAACTCTGTGGAGGAAACAGGAAGCTTGCAAAATAAAGACAGTTTAACCTCCCGTAAAGAATGCCACACTTTGTGGTCCATTTTTTTCTTTTTGTTTCTGTGAGAAAATTTGCTCTGTTGTGAACATGATGTGCAGGGCTGCATCTTTATCTTGAACATAAAGGGATGTCACACTGTCAGTTTTGTACAAAAGTGCCAATTTCACAAACTGTGTAG